AGTTGCCAGGGTCTAATCTGGCTCAGAAGAAAAAATCGGGTTCAGCGAAGCATATTAAGAGAGGGCCCAGATGTGGATGTATTGCAGAGCAGCTCTCGATCGTTTGACTTAATATTCAGGGTTAGGACAGAGAATAAGATAATTTCTAGAGGAATTGTGACACTCAGTAATATTGCATTTCTAAGCTTTGAAACGCCACAGCTTGTAACATTCAGTATTTCCAGTTCTGGCAAAGCCAAAATTAGTTCTTATATATTTGACTAGAAGAGGGGTAATTTTCATTCCTAAGTAGCTAAAGCATCTCTTTATATACACTGTATATTTTACCATACATGTTTGTTATAAGATATACAAAAATTTATTAAGGCCTATGTCTGAATGTTGTGCATTCTGAAAACTCATGAACAATTTTGAAGGGAGAATTGGAAAATAAAATCACATTTCATTTCAAGGAAACAGATTAAATAGATAATAATAGGTAAAAGGCAGGTCTAAGATTGCAAGAATGAATGTCAAATGCATTTATCAAATGACTATGTATATAATGCGTCACAGCTTCCACATATACATATTTGTTATAGACGTGTGTAGTTGCTCTAAGTGTACCTATTAATTGCAAACACTGGAATACAATCTGTTCTTGTTTTACAGTGCTTTTCTATATGCATATGAAAATGAGATAATCCTATAAAGATAAGATTAAATCCGAGAAACTGTAGGAACAAATGGTTTAACTCTTTGAGAGACAGAAGATGAAAATATTTGTCTTTTAGAATCTGAAGAGAGGGTGGACGTACAGTAGGACATTTGAAAATATTACCAGGAATGAAAGTACACAACTTTGATAGTTTTGTTTTTCTGTTTCCCCTTTCAGATATTCATGTCCTTATTTTAATTAACTAGTTCATATAAATACAGCAGGATTGTTGTATTTTTTTAAATAACTCTTTACTGAATATGTCAACAAGATAATATATAGTGTATAGTGAGGTTTTGAAGTTAACAATGCGTGCAACATGGCAGATTGCAGAAAACAGATAATGCAGACTTCAAACCATCTATTTTTCCATGTTAAAGATAGAAAGTATACCAAACACAGAACAGAATCAAGTGTGCATGTCTCAGTTAAAATCAATTTTATGAAAGATTATCTTCAGTTATTTGGGACCAAGTGATGAGAACAATTTTTTTAGTAGCTTATCTGTTTCTGAGAGGATCAGAATTCAGCTCTCATGAGGCACATTTCCACAGAGCCCCAGTATAATAAAAGCTTGCCAAATCACTTTTGTACTAGTTTTCCAAACGGACTACTAGCCAGTGTCCTTTTAAAGAGCACAACATTCTATACTGTACAAAAGTTTAATGCCAAATGCTTCAATATTGCCTGTATTATCATCTGGGATACAAAATGCCCTGTTCAGTGGAGTTCAGGGAAGGAGTGATCATCAGCTTCCTAGGATTATCTCTGTGTTTAGACGAGAGCATCAGGCAGGATTTGATAAGGCTCAGAGCCTGTAACTTTTGATTTTGGCACTCATTTCTGTTTTGTTTTTCCACTGAGCTGGAAAGGTAAGTCATGAGTAAAACCATTATTCTCATGTTCCAAAGGAAAAACTTTAATATCTCCATGTTATAATTTAAGGTGAAAGAAGTACTATAAATGGAGAATTCAATGGGAATTAACCACTTCACTGTCAAAAGCTGAGACTGAACTTTCACTTCAACGTCATTAATAAAGTGCCTTATGTAGACCCTTAAAACCATAACAATACAATATGCATAAAGTTCTTTTGCTTGCAAAATTAAAATTGATACATTTCTCAGAGGGAGAAATTTTCTCTCATGAAAAGAGAAAAAGATTGAGAGAAAAATATAGTTGAACTACTCTAATAGCTAATAGCATATGCTATTTCAGTTTTCTGTTTTATGTGATGTTCATTGTAGACCTTTATTGGCCTACAGGGAAAACTGCTAATATCTCTTCAGTCCAAAGTAACCCAAACCCTAGATATTCTTATGAAGAAAGTCAATAATAATATCTCCAGTAAGAACCTGTTAACAAAAAGTCCATGCATTCATCAGGTGTTTGCTTCTGCCAGCAAGCTACATGCAAGGAACACTTGTTATAATGACAGAATCTATGAAAACGAGGACCTGTTTGTAAATAAGTAAGTCTTCAGAAGGAACCTAAGCACTGGACACAGCAGTGATTTAGTATAATTTCACTTAAACTCTTATTTTTTTCCACTCACTAATCTTTTCTGTACATTTATGTCAGCTGTTAGCAGTATACAATGGAAGATGGGTGAGATTTTGTCTGTAAACCGCTCATTTGCCCTCGGGTCCAATGAACCTGTTCAAATCAGGACCTGGAAGTGAACATTTTGGGTGAGTTGTATATGCACACATTTGGGACTTCTGCTCCATAGCCTTTAGTTAGTATCTGGGGTCAGATATTTGCACTAAGGGAAGATGACCCTATTTTTACAAAGTCCAAAGAAAAAGCTACTGATATCAAAATTTACATCACCAAAACATCATAGTCCATTTTTAACTCTATTTCCAAATATTTTACCTAGTGAAAATTGCCCATTATGTACTTATCTAGATTTATCCTGAAATGAAGTCTTAGCTGTTTATGTGACTGACACTTTGAAATGTTCCAGATCCTCTTGTACATTGAAATACATTAACTCTTTTGCAGCTGGATAGCAATTAGAACTGGGAGAAATATTCTTCAAAGAAACGTATGAACTTTTGTTTGACTACAACTGTGAATTTGTTTAGATAATACTCCCAGTTCTAGCCACAAATTTTGCTATAAGTGGCTTGTTACTTTTTTCCAGAACTGTATTTATAGAAAAGAAACTTTGTCAGTATCCCATACCAATATATATATTCTTCTTCATACTGAAAAGAAGCATAAACTATGCTATCTTTAATATAACTTTGATTTTTGATCTAGGTAAGTGAGTAACAGTCCACAGATAGATATATATACATTTCATCACCCGAGATGAAAATGAACAGTTTGTGAATGCCTTATCAGGACAGTAACCACATTTGTTGTCATCAGTTCGGCTTTGTGGATCATTCACCTACAGTACAGCTGAACTCCCTGAATAAGTCATTTGCTACAAATAAGGTGCCTAGCTCATCTTGAAACTATGGTATCCTGAGGCCTAGAACAGACGATGTTTATCAAGGAGGACAAAGATTCCTCCAGCATCAGTCACTGAAGTACGAAATACTAGTAAGCACGTACTTTCAAAGGATGCTTTTTGAAATAAAATGTACAGCTAGTTATTTCAGTGAAATTAAATACTACATCCACACCCAATGGGAATCTCTGGCTCTGTTTAATTTCAAACAAACTCCAGCATGCAATGGAAGCGTGCAGAAGCACAACTATTTGCTGCTTGTCTTGTGGGTTTTGGCAGCTAAAACCTATTAAACAAAAAATAGTAAGTATCAACCTTCTCATCATAATAGTCAGTAAATAGGGCACAGAAAAAAATACTTTGCATAGACGTTTCTACCTAGAATTACACCATTTGAAATCATACGGCAGCCTTTCATTCAGCAAAATTTCAGTGACTTTACTATCACAGCAGCCACACAGGTTGCCTAAAATACCTGTTATAGCTGGAGAAAATAGCAAATATACAGAATATAGAGTGGAATTTCAAAATGTGATTATAAAAGGTGTTGGGGGGAGAATGTGGTTCCTTATACAATGATTGTACTTTGCTATCAATCATAACTGGATTCATGTTGCCATTGCAGAAAATGAGCATTATCATGCAATTTGAATTTGAGAAACTGTGCACTTTCTGGGTTTCAAGAATGGGTTGAGTGAAATGAGCAAAGGAAAGGATTAAAACCCTCTCTCCCAACATAAGCAGCCTCATAAAGTGAAAAGTCTAAGCATTCCATAGTGAAAGTGCTTTAGCCTTTACTTCCAATCCAGTTCCAAAACTTCTCCTTGTCCCTGGCTGGTCACTGTGAAAAGTTTTCTCTTTGGCTCCCTACTCCCTCAGGAAAGTTTTCTCTCTCTCTTTTGTTTTTCTTTTGCTTTTCCCCATGTTCAGGAGAAAGTGGCCCACATTTAAAAGCAAATTGGAAAAAAACAGGAGTTACATTCCACCACTGATCTGTCAAGAAATCCAGAGTTCTTGGCAGTCACAGTCAATGGAGTGGCTGGAACATCATATAATTTTGGGAGCAGCGTCATGGCTTTAATACAAGCATGATGTTTCGCGTTGTGCATGTAAAGCTCAAGGACTCAAAAGTATTCCAGCTGAAGAATTTGAGGGAATAAAAGAGCAAATTCTAAGCTCACCTACTGCTTATAAAGCAGAGATCATTCTGGAAAACTTCCAAAAGCTTGAGATAAAAGAAGGGTAATTCAGAGGGACAGTGTGTACTTGTGTTCTCAAAATTCCTCAGCTAATCAAATGCTTAGTTAATGTCTGTCTATACTTGAATGGAAGAAGAAACCAAACAGGATTTATACACAATTTTACCTGCTGAACATATTTCAGTTCATGATAGGCATGGAGGCTTTTCCAGTAATAAGTTTTTAAAAGATCTTTCTTGTTTGTTTTCTCTGGTTGTCCTTTTTTTCCTACTTCTCCATACTGAACGTAACTCAGACCCCTAAATCAAACAGGGCTTGACACATAAAAGTCAATAGCAACCTTTCCACTGGCATCATATTTTGCATCATGTTTTCAGCAATTTACACTTTTAGATTCCAAATTCTACGTGAATACTGCAGAGCTGGGAGCACTCAGAATTCCCCTCATTCAGGCTTTACCTGAACATACTGTGTCAACAAATGCTGCTCTATTAAAGAGAGGTGCAACTTAATGACAGCTATCTGTTACATCTGATAACCTTCATCTCCCACTGAGAAGGGTCAAAGAATGCCTAAAGCTTCTTAATCATAATGAAAAGCAGAAATAGTTTCTATCATAAAAGTATATAGTGTTGGGGGACACTTTCAGAGCAGCTTTTGTAAATAGGAATCAAGGTCACCTTGAGCTTGACACTGAGCTCTAACTTTCCTATTCAGTATACTGGGAGAAAACTAATCAAACTGAGTGCTTTTTGGTAGCATTCAGAACTCCAGCTTTCAGTTGGAGGTAGGAAATGCAGAACTGACAAAGGGGGGCAGAAGTATTTCCAACTGTTTGAAGCTCAACTGCAACTGCTGGGTTCAAGTCAGAAGAGTTGTATCCATTTTATCTGAATTGCTTTTGCCCATTCCTAGTGACCCTGTTTTAATATGCACTTATTTTCCCGTACTGCAGGACAACTAGAAACTTAACATCCCTCAGACAGCTTCGACAGCAAAGTGGTTAATGTTTGAAGAATGTGTCATTCTTTCCTTTGCCATGACATTGGGTTCTTATTGTACAACCCTGTACAGTACTTAGCAATATTTTTTAAAGATTTAAAAAGCAAAGAGTTACAAAACCATTTGCAATTAACTTGAAATAGAAAAGATAGCACTTTTTTTAAATCCCATTATATAGTACACCGTATAAATTACAGAGTATTCAAATGCATTAATGCATCTGGGTAACATTTATCAAATGTAATTTTTTCATTGTTGTTGGGGGGTTACTTTTTCCAGAGTTTTTTCTCTTTGTCCTAGACACCCCCATCTCCCCTTACTATCACGTATGACAGTGCTCCAGGTCTGAGACATTGCTGTTGCAGTATCGCATGTTGTTGGGGATGTGGCAGTCTGTGTAGTTAATGCCCCCGTTTGGGGTATAAATGGGCTGCAGTCTGAAATCTCCTTTAAGGAGCTGATCATTATTTAAGGAGACAATCTGGAAGCTGGTTTCCGTCATCTCCAGGATGGAGTTGTCCTTCTTGGTCCCTGCCTCACAGTAGTCATCTTTCCGACGGCCCCGGTTATATTTCCACTTCTGGGAGGTGTAACGCCCTTTTTTGTGCATGTGCCAGCAAAAAATGCTGAGCAGGACCACAAGGACAAATATCACTGCACCCCCAATCAACCCTGCCAGCAGAAATGGGGAGCCCAGGTTCTGAGAAGTCGTCTGCTCATGGCTGGAGGGGATGTTGCTGCCATTGCTCAAAAAGGAAGCCTTGGTTGTGGCTTCTGAACAGACAGTGTCTTCTCCGGTTCGGTAATTGTTATGAGTATCCAGTGGAACCAAACAAATCCGATAGGTGGATTTGGGCTCCAGATTCACCAAGCTTAAGTGTTGCTTCTCACCACTAACTATTCGCTCCTGAACAATTCCTCCTACCAGACTATGGCCCATTTTAACCCATGTGAGTTTATATGCCATCACGGTAAAAAGAGACATCCATTTAACTTGGATGCAAGTGTCATTCACAAAATGGATGGAGAGTTGAATCCGTTCAGATATCGGAGGTGTCACCCTTTCTCTGTCCTCCCTGTCAGGCACAGTGGGGAGTGTGGCTATGGTGGGAGTGAGAGGATTATATTTGCTACTTGGGGGAGGAACTGATGAGGTGGGAACTAACGTAGTTGGCATGGCTGTAGCTGGGACTGGGGTGATGATAAGTGGCAGACCTGGGGTGGTGGTGGGGCATGACAACATATTCATATTGAGCTCCCTGACTGCCATACCTCGGACCTGCTCTGGTCCCTGGCACATAAAACCCCGTACATTGATGGAAGCGGGAATGAATTTGAGCCATTCAGTGACCCACTTAATACTGCAGTCACACAACCAGGGATTATTCCTTACAGTGAGTTGCCTCAGGTTGTGGAGATTATCAAATACCCCCTTTACCAACATCCGAAGTTGATTGTTGGAAATATCAAGACGTTCCAGCTTGTGGAGGTTTGAAAAGGCTGTAAGCGGTATATGGGTTATCTGGTTGTCCTGCAAGTAGAGCCTTAGCAGATGTGTACCTGGAAGATCGGGAGGAGGGTAGGTCAGTGAATTCCGCACTATAGAGAATTCCTTGAGCTTGGAGAGGTGGCTGAAGGTGCCTTCAGCTATGCCTTTATTAGTAAGGAGATTGCCATCCACAATCAGACGCTCCAGACTTGTAAGATTCTGGAAGGCCAGGTCTGAAATGACAGCAATTCGGTTTTCATCTACTCGAAGTTCTTGTAAGTCCACCGGAAGGCCTACTGGTACGCTGCTTAAGTGATTCTTGGACAAGAACAGAAGCTTGAGGCTGATGGCTTCCCGGAATGCCCCATCCTCAACGCCAACAGTGGAGATGGAGTTGTCATCCAGGTGCAGCTCTTCCAGCTTCAAAAGCTGAGCAAGGGCAGCCCGAGAAATTGTCTGAATGTTGTTTTCCTGCAGGTGGAGAACCCTGACATTCTTGGGCAGGTTCATGGGGAATTCATCTAATTGGTTGCCATACAGGTAGACTGTGTGCACAGACTGGACATTGTGCAACTCTGCAGGAAATCCAGCATTATTAATTTGGTTATTATGGAGGTAGAGGACGGTTACACCCTCCGGTATCCCAAGAGGCACTGAGGTCAAGCTTCGCTCATTACAGTAGACAAAGTTTCGGTCACAGCGGCATACTTTTGGACACGCCAAAGTTTTGGAGACCTGCATGTAGAGCCCCAGGGAAAAGATAAGCCATGATTTCATGAGAACAGCCCAATCTGTGGGCCACATTCTAGTCCACAAACCCATTTCTAATTTAAAGAAATAAAGTACCAAAGTGTTAAGAACTAATAACAATAATAAAGCACAGGTAGCAAAATCTCAGGTTATTAAAATTAGCTTCTATTTATGTCCAGTGTTCAGGCCAGAGTTAAAGTCCTGCAGGCTAAGTATAAAATAATCCTTTTATAATTGGCCTACCTCCTACTTCTGATAAGAAAGCCACAGTCTTATTAGCCAGGGTTACAAAGTTTTTTGCCTTCCTCCATGTGTGCTGAAAGAAACAATAGCCGTCTTTGCCGGTGAGCAACAGGTTAATTTAAAGCTACCAAAAGTCGCCTGTGTACAAGTTGCTTGGAGGGAGAATATTTCCTTTCACTGAAGTCTGTTGGTGTTACACTCAGCTTTCTGAAGTCAGCAAATTCCTCATATCAGCTATCTGCCAGATCTGGCCTGCCTGTAAAAGAAAAGAGAAAAGAAAAAGCTGAATAGCACGAAATATTTAATAGGGAAGATCAAGCCCATTGGAAGACTATTCTAAGGCTGTGCTCTTTATGGCTTTCTGGAAAAAAGGCATTAATATTAAACATTAGCTTAATATTACTGTTAAATAGTCTTAAAATAGATTTCATGCAAAGTCATTGCAGTGATTGAAGGACTTTCAGTAACTGCAGTGAAGGCTAGATCTATCACATGTGTTTGCATATTGTACCTCCAATCTTTGTCCTCTCACAGTCTGTTTCAAATCTTAAAACTAAACCATTTTACAAACCTAAAGCTAAACCATTTAACTGGAAATTTTTGCTCAGGTATTTTTTTTCTTTTGCAGTACCACTGACTTCAGTGAATGCTATTCACTAACGCTTGACAGAGTAGACTCTGGGCTGTATTATTTAATCACACTCTGTGTTTTTTTCATTTCCTACCAGACTCTGGAATGTTCTGCTTCTATTTCTGCAATGCCATTATGTATATTCTCCACCTTAATGCACACTGCCAGATTATTGCACCTCACTACAATGAATTAGCTACTTATGAGGAAAGTCTTTTAAATAAGTATGGTAATCCACAAATAAAAGATAACCTGCTGTAAGGCATATATTTGCTAAAACGATCATCTTGATACTGTTTCTGATGTGAACTGTGCTGTCAACAGATTTCAGAATTAGCTTTCCACTAAATGAAATGGGCTCACATCTGCTAAGTTATTGTTTTAGGATATCAGCTCAGACTACAGCAGTTTTGCAAAAGAGCACTTTCTTTGAAAGCATAAAGGTTAGATGCTTCTTTTAATTATGCTACACAGTTGTCTGTGAACGGCTTCTCAAACAAATTTGTTAACTTTAGTTTAGGTGAGCTCTTTAATACATATTTTCATCTTTTAGGTGTACTTTTTAACTTTTACCTTCCCAGCTACTTTTTATTATTCATATCTGTAACCAAACAATTCTAATCTCTGAAGCATACAATGAAAGATACTGTATCATATGACATTATCTCGTCTTGTTATATGTTGTTTCCAATAACTGGAAAACAATGTTGTATTTTATATACTTGAACATAACGAAGGATATAAACCTTGACAAGTACTAAGCATGTGTCAGTCTCAAGGACTTGAACTGCAGTTACATAAGCACAGTATTTTTCCAGATTTTGTTGACCTAGATCAAAACTCATTGGCTGGGATTTCACTGAAACAGAGTTTCAGTGAACAGAAATCATGTTTTAAAAAAACTTCTCTGTTATTTAAGCAGTTTAAGCACCATCCAGGTAACTGAGAAAGAAAATTCAGGAATACATGAAAGCTTGTTCTTCTGCTACAGCTGTGCAGTTTATAACATGTCCCAAATGCTGCTTTGGGAACCTCGTGGACTGACAGCGTAGAAAGACTCTTGAGGAGTCAAACTATTATAAACTTGGAACTTTGCACTTGTAGATTACTATATTTATTTGGAGCATCATCAGGTATCAGCCTCAAGGCTAGAACAGTTGGAGATGAAAAGTGAGACCCTGAAAAGTCATGTAGCTTATCATTGTGATTTCAAGTGGTAAATGTAACTTTCCAGTAATGCAGCCTATACTTTGTGTTTTCCTTTGCTAGAAACAGTAAGATTAGCTACCCCACCGTTCAAAGTTTTCTCTCTTGCAGGCATATTTCAGTCAAGAGTGGTTTCTTTTCAATTATGTAAGATGACATAACACTGTAGAGAAACTCTAACAGGATTACACTCTAGCATGACCCTAAGTGTGACAGTTTATCCGCCTTTAATACGGCCTGGCTCCCATCTAGATCATACCGCTCTGATCCGTCATGACACTGCCTTTTTAAAATAAGAAAGGATGTGCAAAGTCTCCTCTGAGATGCTTGGGACCACAGAGAATAACAGCAGTTCTCTCACGCTCTTTCCATCGTCGGAGAGAGACAATCTATACCTCCTAACAGGGCCCATGCCCTGCACTGAACTCCTTCAATTCTAAGTCCAGTTGCTGATTAGGTTTTATTTGACTCCCGGGTATGACAGGAAGCGCAGCAGAGGGTGTGCAGCCACAGGCAGCTGCAGGTCCTGGTTTTCTGGGAATCTCCTAAGGAGGGAATGTCATATTAAAACTGATTTATGCACTCACCATATTCTAGGACTCTGCCCAGAGTACTTCTCACCTAGCTAAATGCGGCACCTGAATAAAAGATTTCAGTAATGATTCTAGTAAATTGGAACAAATACACAGCAATTCTCATTAGATATTACAAGTAAAAGAGCCTTAACTGGACAGTCATTTAAGCATATCAGCACTTCAGAAGCTGGCACTCTGGAGTTTATGTCTTTTTACTGTTACATGGATTTTGCCCTTAGAAGTCTGTTAAAACTTTCCTATTTTTTTCTCCCCTCATGATGATGAGAAAGAGAGTCCTTTTATTAATGCCAGTATCCTAATCTCCAGCTATCAGTCCTTGACAAACCAGCACTATAAAATTCGGTGCAGAAAATATGCTTTGGTAACTACAGTTGATTGTATTAAGCAAGAGCAAAAAGACAAATCTAACCAGATATTTATGACTTCAGGGTTGACTGTGGTGTGACAGAGGTAAGGAATGAGGAAGCAAAGATACAACTGAATGTGTTTATATAAATTATTTGAGAAACGCTTTACCTCAGTAATATTTTGCAACTGTTTAATAATAACTCATAGTGGTGGTCACAGTTGCAGTATTTTTCAGCAAATCTCAGAGACCCTAATGCAAAAGAGAGTTGTGTCGCTATGTTATAAATCTCTACCCCAAAGACATTACAAAGACTGAAGAGTTGAGCAACCTGCTTGATTTAAAAAACAAACTCTGTAAAGGAAAAACATCCTCAGCATATTCCAGAGAGCTGGAAAAGCTGAAACAGTTTGTTCTTTAGCAAATTGCCAACACTGAAGGCAGATGGAGTAATTGAGCTGTTTCCCCATCCCTGCCATGTTGGCTTCCTAAAGCAAGCTCTCTATTTTCAATATTCTTACAAGAACTGAACTGTGTCTCTCTGTGAATGAACTGATCATTTGCAGAAGTAGAATTTTGGAAGTGGAGGAGTTAAGGGCACTCAATAATCTTAGCCTTCATGATTGTAAATCTTGGGAATCAACTCATAAACTACAGATGGAGGTGACTTTACTTATTGTGAAACCAGGAATTCTGAAAACCAATCTAGGAAGCAAGGATGAGAGTAAGGGACTTTGTCATGGTTAACTTAAAATTAAAGAAATCAACAAGCAAATACCTCAGTAATAACACATCTGCCCATCACCACCTTAGTCACTTTTGTTTCTATTTCCTTACACTTGGTTTCTAGTATTTCTCACTATATCCTCCCTGGAGCACAAGCCATGTCTTCCAAGCGTCTGGTACATTTCCTGTGTAACTACAGCCAGGATATTAAATCCCATTAAGATTTAAGGAATGATACAATAAAATTGAGAAAAGCACAGTGAAACAGATGAGAACATATGCGCATATTTTAGGTGGTCATGTCTGAAAATTTGGCTTAGTGGCCTGAATTCCTGACATCAGTTGAAATGTTCCCTTTCATATTTTAAGAGGAATTTCTAATCAATGTTTTTATCTCACTGTCTTTTTTCAAACCTACCTTCTTTAAATACCCTTTTGGCAATGAACAATTCTGGCTTTGTATACTGGATAAAAATTTCAAATTTGTTTTTGTTCAACACTGCATCTGAACAGCTCCTTTTGGATATTTTGATTAAAAGTATTTAAAGGCTGAATCATCTGGCAACAAGTTGGGAAGGTAAAGGTTTTATTAATGTCCTGGTTTCAGCTGGGATAGAGTTAATTTTCTTCATAGAAGCTAGTATGAGGCTATGTTTTGGATTTGGGTTGAAAACAAAGTTGATAATATACCGATGGGTTTAGTTGTTGCTAAGCAGTCAAGGAGGGGTGTGCATGCAAATCTGGGAGAGGACACAGCCAAACTGGGCAAAGGGATATTCCATGCCATATGACGTCATGCTTAGTATATAAAGCTGGGGGAAGAACAAGGAAGCGGGGGGGCATTTGGGGTTATGGAGTTTCATCTTCCCAAGTAACCGTTACACATGATGGACCCCTGATTTCCTGGTGATGGCTGAACACCTGCCTGCTGATGGGAAGTAGTGAATGAACTCTTTGTTTTGCTTTGCTCTGCTTACATGTCCAGCTTTTGCTTTACTTATTAAGCTGTTTTTATCCAACCCATGAGTTTTTCTCAATTTTGCCCTTCCAATTCTCTCCTCCATCCCACCATGGGGGACTGAGCAAGCAGCTGTGTGGGGCTCAGTTGCTGGCTCAGGTTAAACCATGACAATTAGTCTCCCGTTCACTGGTCAGAATCATCCACACAACTTCAAGCTTTAGTCTCCCTCCTGTACACAGCCATGAAATAATTTAGCTACAATAAAAAAAATGCTTCAATAATTAATATATTACTGAAAATGCTACCCAATCATAAATTTGTGGTATCTAGGAAAAAACCCAAACAACCCACTAGCAGCCTGCTTATGGAACTCTTTCCTACCTCAGTGACCAATATTGCCTCAGTGGCTGTGTCTATGGTATCTAAAGAATCTCCAAACATGCATCCTCCCCACATTTCATGCTGCAGTCTTCCAAACATACAGTCCCAAATGTACCAGTCAAGGTCTCTGTGGCTGCCTGAGAACCTATTAATGTTCAGGGGAGATAACAGAGAATCAAGGGAAGAGATAACACACAGAGCACAGCCTGCAATATGAATACTTACAGCCCTATGTTACAAGCACAGGAGTTTTGTTGTGCTCTTGAAACGAGGTTGTCTGTTTTTATTAGTCTTCCCATGTCTTATATTACGGCTATTAATTTTTAGAGGGAATAAAATTAACAATGCTTTGCTATTCTTTCCTTCAAGGAATCCTGAAAATAATCAAAGTAAGATCCTAGGA